AGGAGGAGGAGGAGAAGGAAGAAAAAAAGAGGAGGAGGAAGAGGAAGAGGATAAAAGGAGGAGGAGGAGGGGAAAAAGGAGGAGAAGGAGAAGGAGGAGGAGGAGGAGGAGGAGGAAAAAAGAAGGATGAAGAGGAGGAGGAGGAGGAGGAGGAGAAGGAAGAAAAAAAGAGGAGGAGGAAGAAAAAAGAGGAGGAGGAGGAGGAAGAAAAAAAGAGGAGGAGGAGGAAGAGGATAAAAGGAGGAGGAGGAGGGGAAAAAAGGAGGAAGAGGAGGAGGAGGAGGAGGAGGAGGAGGAGAAAAAGGAGAAGGAGGAGGAAGAAGAGGACTAGGACTGTGGGGTCCTTGGTGGTCTCTGAGCTTGATTGTTTTCTTACAGATTTTTCATTACTCAACTAGATAACAGCATCTGTGCACTGACGATTACCTACCTGGGTCATGAAATCTCTGCAAGGAAATACTAAGAACCCCACGGTCCTCCTTTACCTAGCAGGGTCACGAAACGCCTGCAAGCCAGCTCCGACAGCACCAAGGACCCCACAGTTCAACCCTGAGCTACCAATAGCCTCTCCTATCAGTTGAACACCCCCCCCCTTACCAGCCAGGACTTTCTGTGCTTCGAACGGTTCCATGTAGCCTTCATTTTTATCCCTCTGCTCCTCCTGCACCTGACTGTGAGTTTCTTCCCTCGTGTCGAATGGATCTGAGTAGTCTTGCAGAATGGTCATCTACAAAAGGAAAGGACCCTTTAATGCAGACGCCCCCAAACTTTGGGGCACCAGGGACCGGTTCCGTGGAGAGAGGTTTTTCCACGGACCGGAGAGTGCGTGGTTTTGTGTGCTGCCTGCATCCCACGGATGGGGCTTTGCTTGTTTGTGCGGCCCAGTTGCTGGCATGCCATGGCCCGGTACCGGTCCATGGACCGGGGGTTGGGGACCCCTGCTTTAATGGATCCAGCAGTAGCCTGAGAATAGCAACTTTGTGTAGGGGACAAGGAAGAAGGACCCTCCAAGCCAAGATGCGTCCATGTCCTTCACTCCGAAGGTCCAATTCGACTTATTTCACCCCGGCCGTGCTGGAGGATTTTGAGAGTTAAGCGAGAAGCAAAGTCACTTATCCACCCTTTTCATTCATCGGCCACCCAAGGAGAGATATTTTCATCAAGGAGTCCGCAAGGAGAAGGGCGGGATATAAATCTAATTTAATAATAATAATAATAAATGGAAGCGGAATCTACAGTAACGGAGCACCTGTTTCTACCTGTACATTCAAAAGTAAGGCCTGGAGACAGGATCCTTAAAATCTACTAAACCCAAAAGACCTACAAAACGCTAAAAGAGGGTTGCAACCCCAGGTTGTCTGTGCACGTTGTGTGAACAAGAAGTGCCAGTTCATCACTTCTGAGCTACTGCAAGCAAGGGGTGTGAACCCAGCACTGGTGTTTCAAGAAAGATTTAGCACCTAAGGCCAGGGGTTTTATTGTTTTTAGATAAAAGGCCCACCGTTAAAGCATAGAAGTGCAGCCCCCACAGCGGGTTGCAGAGGGAGCTTTCGGCTTTTCTAAAATGCAAACAAAATAATTGGGGAATTATTTTTTTCCAGCTTCTTTTTGCCTAACTTGTTTCATTTAGCAACCGCCTACGTTTATTTTGCTTTCCTGAGCTGCCCTAAAAGATACTACCCAAGCATGGATTCCAGCCTACACACAACAAATGAACACACCTTTTATACACACAATCCCCTTGCCCGCTGCCATCCTTTCAA